TGTACAAATGAGCACTGCCATGTAAGTATATGAAGCAGCACAGAAAACGCTTTATTGTATGTAACGCAGATTTATGGTACTACAGGCATCAGTCTATTATTCGTGCATAGTAAAACTATTCCTTGCTGTTCATTATGAACAAATCACTCCTGTAGCATAAGTCAAAATAGGTTGCCTTTATTTGACTTGTCCTCGTTGTGGGTGCGCCATGAACGCAAGTCGACATTCCTCGTTTATTTTTTGTTCTCCATTTTCTGCCTCTACCTATGGCCGAGTAATTTGACCATGGGGTCGCCCCAACGTGCTCTTGAAGACAGAGTAGAAGTTGTGGTTTAGCAGAACCTCATTCATATTTCTTGACTTCCACAGGTTGTCACTCAGAGTTGATCCATCTTCTCGTGGGAGGAATCACTTTGGGGAATCCAGTTGTTGCCGAATTTGTTACATCAGTAAATAACTCCAGAAGGAGGCCTTTTAACACCAGCAATACTGACAGTTGTTTTCGTATCTAGCTCTTTGCTACTTTTAGGTGCAATATCTAATAGGGAGATAATGTACAAGGTTGGTTTCGAACGTTCTGTGATCATGATCTATTACGGAACAAACTAGCCAGATGAAAAACCACCACCAGTATATCGATATGTTGGCATATCCGTATATCGATATCTGTATCTGTGTCCTACCACATCATATCATTATCTAGTTTATAACAGTCAGCATTGTTCCTCTAACGAGTTCTGTGGAAGTTTTATTTTAGATCACGTGATAAAATCTGATACTGATAAGAGCTACATTCATAAATCAAGGAACACCACTATGTGAAATGGGTGGAGGAATGGCAGGAACTTTCAAGTTACATGCTAGCCCCCATGAGTGCCATCATATGGCGATCGCCATACAAACAAAAAAACCTAAATGAAGAATGTATTGAAACGCGTTTCATGAGTTTTGATTCTGTGCAATGTTCTTTCAGACTCGGAATAAAATCGATGATATTCCTGTTTCTTGCAGCATTTGTGTCTGAAAGCAATTCCTGTTCATCTTCTGCAACGGTTATTAATCCTATGCCTGATATAACGGTACTGGCACAATCGAAGATATGGAGGCACCCCGTATGTACTGTAACACGTGTTTCAGTCAAACAATGATTTTACATGGCTTTGGTCTTTCACATTGCGAACCCCAGCTGGATAGCATTACTGATTGATAGTAGGTAAGGTGCGAGACTGCGAAATGCTTGCTATCACCCCCTCCTGGTATCCTTCTATTGATTTCACAGTCATGATGCAATTGGTTTTACTTTTAACGTTCTCTTTCCATGACGATCTGGGGGATTTTTCAGCAATCTGGTCGAAAACAAGCTTTGAGGATGCTGCAGCTTGGATTGGATGTCACTAGAAAGTTTCATCCCATGACAAACTCATCCCATCGGCGTTACTTTAGAGGTTGGCAGGCTCATCGGATTCTCGGCAGA